GTGTGTTATGTCCAAAAATGCATCAAAGAAGCCACTGTCACATTTTTTCAAGTTTATATTCTATTTGTGGCAAGCAATCTAGTATAGTTGCAAGTTTAACGATAGAAATAAATCTGCACCACTTCTAACATTCAGGAATTCGAGCATCAAAACTATATTAAAACACATAAAAGCTGCTAATTTGTAATGTCATTCTAGGAAAAAAAAATTATTGGAAACGACAACATAAGGTTTTTTTATTTATTTATTTTTAGGATAAAAAGGTAAAACAATAAAACTTACACCTTAATGTACAATGGCCATCAATCCTAAAAACGCTTGTGTCGATGAATATCTCCAAACTTAAGTTCCAACAAAACCAGAACCAAAACTTATACACACCTTAAGAAAATTTGCTTTGATCTCGTGGACGCTGTTTCCATAGAATTAATTCCTGGATACCTCTCTCGTTAATATGCGCATATATATAATGACGAAGCATGGGCTGACTCAATACATATTTGTATGAAAACGACAAATATATATGTTTAAATTTTCGTGTCCGACCAACTTTCAAATTATTGGTCACAAAAGGATAAATAATGTAGCATCTAGTTCTAAGAACAAACTGACGAAGTTGAGCGATTGTGGATTATGACTATAAAAAATAATCTTATCGCGGTTTCTTTTTTTTTTTTTTTTTTCCTTTTGTCTATATAAAAAGGAGCGATTCTGAAGACCACTGAGGAATGGAAAGAGCCTGAACTAGACTCCACTCAACTATCAAACTAGTTTCCCCCACCTGCCACGAGCGCCCCACTTAATTTCCCAATTATGCTCGAACCTTCATGTGGCTATGGAGTTTCAAACCTAAGAGGACGAGCAGAGGCGTCCTAATAAAGGCGTCCTTACTACAGCTGTGACGACCCTTACTTCTGGTCATCATTATTACGTTCATTTTTAGTTTATATCTTAACTTCTACTACTTTAAAACTATAAAATCTTAATTCTAGGCTATTTTTTATTTCAATAGTAAGATAAATACTAATATACTTTGACAGGATAAAACTTTATTAATATTTTATAGTAAAACTCAAATATTAAAAAAATACTTTTCCTAAAACATTTTCAACTTCTAAATATTAAATAATCCGTAGATAAAATTTCTTTTAAAACTTTAAAACCTTTTTCCTAGGTGTGATAATACATCTAACATACCATTTGCATACTACTGCCGTTCAAATGTCATTAACATAATAGTATTTTGGATACATTAACATACTTTGTGACTTGAGGTTGCTAAGCTTAGCCTCGTTGTCTCGTATACTTTACTTTTATTACATAGCTTACATATATAATACAACATACTTTATACACATAGTAGCGTTTTCAAAACACATGGTGCATCCATTACCCACTTGCCCACACTCTCCTGCTTCATCCTTTCTCCACGCCCACCAATAGGTTTTAGGGAACCAGTGCCTAACCCGAGCTTCCTATAACACGAACAAATGGAATGAGCTTTCTCTCAGTAAGTAACATCAGACACAATAAGTGCAATCAGTAATGCATACCATATATGCATTCATGTCATACATCCTAACACATTTTCTAAACATTAAAACATTTATCGTATTATGCCCTCTTTCATTTCATACTTTGTTTCCTTTCGTTTCTTTCATTCATGTCATACTTCTTTTTCTTTCGTTCGTTCTTATGTCTTTCATTTTTATAATTTTTACTTCTTACGGGCCCCGTTCCTGTTGTACCGTTGCACACATACCCAATGAGGAGTGGGAGAGATACCCGAAATCAACTCATCCTTGATTTTATTCATAATAATCTCTCTTGTGAAGATCGATACAAACAGTTTTATTAACTTTTTATCATTTATCATCTTTACTTCGTAAATCGTCTTACTGTCATCTTTTCTTATCATGACAGTAGTTTTAATCTTACATTGCATTTTTAAGCATTTCTGTCAATTTCCTAAGAAATTTGACTTTATTTCAAAGTTTGACTTTTGTTGGCTTTGACTTTTTCACAGATAAAAATTCTACTGCTACTTTAAGTCTATAAGCACATTCATCGCAATAAATAATAATGAAGAAGCATCTTCCACATATTAGTGTGTATTGAACCTACAATATGCACAATTTTGTGCAACACAAAGAAATATGCTTATTCATGTCGTAGACAAAACAAAACTGCTAGTACTTACAGAAATTCCACTAAACTCACGACTTTCGAGTCACCAAAAACTTTGTTGCCTTGATCACGTACTGATCCTATCATATAAATTTTGAATTGTTAAATTTGCTGTGACGCCCCTCCTATGAGGCCGCCACTATAACTTAAACTTTAACTTGTACTTACTGG